GACTTTTGGTTTAAAGTTTTTATTTAGAAAGACTTGGTCTATCTACTACGGTTTCCGACGGACAAAAACAAATAGCAATAGGTCACCCGAGTGACTCTTAAGACTAACAAGAGGCCCATGGGCCACAACGCTCATCTGAGCACTGTGGCTAGGAAAAAGTAGAAATCGGTTTATTATTGAAAAGTTTACATCCAAAGGTAATCCCATGATCAGTCATGGTTTTACTATTCTTGAGAAGATGATTTTTAAAAATATGTTAAACTTTGGTCGGCCATTATGGCCCCGCCCTCCCCCGGGGTCATGATTTGAACAAACTTGAATGTACACGATCTTAGGATTCTTCCATATGAATATGATAAATTATGGCTTTGCTATTCTTGAGAAGAAGATTTTTAAAGAATTTTCCTATAAATTTCTATGTAAGACTTTGGTCGGCCATTTTGGCCCCGCCCTCGAACCGAGGTCATGATTTGAACAAACTTGAATCTACACTACCTGAGGATGCTTCCATATAAATATGATGAATTATAGCTTTGTCGTTCTTGAGAAGATTTTAAAAGAATTTTCCTATATATTTCTATGAAAAACTTTGGTCGGCCATTTTGGCCACGCCCTACCCCCGGGGGTCATGATTTGAACAAACTTGAATCTACACTACCTGAGGATGTTTCCTCATAAGTTTCATCTTTCCTGGCACAGTGGTTCTTGAGAAGATTTTTAAATCATGCCACCAAATTTTCATTAATTCCTAATTATCTCCCCTTGAGTGTGGGCGTGGCCCTTCATTTGAACAAATTTGAATCCCCTTAACCCAAGGATGCTTTGTGGCAAGTTTGGTTGAAATTAGCCCAGCGGTTCCTGAGAAGAAGTCGAAAATGTGAAAAGTTTACAGACGGACGGACGCCGGACAAAATGTGATCAGAAAAGCTCACTTGAGCTTTCGTCTCAGGTGAGCTAATAAAACGGAAACAAAAAAGATCACTGTATTATCGAAATTCCATATATATATAATTCACCTACATGGTGCCTGTGGAACCATCCTTGAGTCTGTCGGTACCATCCTGAAGTCTTGACAGCTTTTAGTCTCAATAGAAAACAATTCAGGGTAGGGACACTCCTGAATGTAGTGTGATTGTTCTGGGCTAGGATCTGAGCAGTTGATAAAGTGGGCAGCATTTAAACCATCAGCAACTGTGGCATACTTGTTCATAGCACAGAAAGATATGACATCTCCTACAAGCATCATTAAAAAATTACGTTAAATTGTGTTGTAATTCACATGGTTAGAAATGTACATACATGAACTGAAAGCTATGAACACGGTTGTAAAGAGTAATACCTTATATTTAACCAATGAATATATCTAAATTATTCTAGATAAAAAATTTCTTGAAATTTATGAGTTGGTAGTAGAAAACATGATTTGCAAAATATTGCAAACGTTTTTTTCAATACATGTTTTAAAAAAGTAGTCGAATCAATCCAATTTGGAAACCTAGGACAGAAAATAAAACAAAAGACTCATTGGCCATAGCGCGGGGGTTTCGGGGGTATATAGTTTTTGTCGTGTCCGTCCGTCTGTCTGTCTAGCTGTCCCTCTGTCTGTTTGTCCGCAAAAACTTTAACCTTGCCCATAACTTTTGATTTAGCGAAGCTGTGACATTCATATTTCACGTGTGTATTCCTTGTGACAAAACCTTTCTTATGGTACCACCATCTTTGACATTGACCTTTGAGTTCGACATACTTTTACACAAAATTTTTGAACTTTTACTGTGGTAATATCTTTTAAACAGTAGATATCAGGACATTTATACTTGATATATTTACGTTTTGTGAAAAGACCTTTCAATGGATACCAACAACCTTGACCTTTTGACCTTGGAGATTTCTTTACTTACGAAAAACTTTAACCTTAGCTATAACTTTTGAACGATAAATGCTAGGGCTTTCATACTTCAAATATGAACTCCTTGTGAAAAGACGCTTTATAGGATACCATGAACTTTGACACTTTAACCTTAGAGTTTGACCTACTTTAAAATACAAACTTGAACATAATTTTTGAAGGATTAGAACTAGGGCTTTCATACTTCACATATTTAATCCTTGTAACAAAACCTTTCATTTGATATCAAGAACCTTTACCCTTTGACCTTGACCCACTTTTACAGAAAAAATCCAAACTTTTACTTTGGTCTTAATTTTAAACGGTAGGTGCTAGGAATTTCATATATCAATTCTTTTTGGCAAGACCTTTCATTTGACATTTCATTCACAATTTTGACCTTGACCTTGGAGATTTATGTACTAACGAAAAAACTTTAACCTTGGCCATAACTTTTGAACGGTATGGGCTAGAGCTTTCATACTTCAAATATGTAACCTTTTATTAGATATCAACAACTTTGACCATTGGCCTAGAAGTTTGACCTACTTTTTACAAACTTTAAAATTGGCCATAATTTTTTAACATAAGGGGCTAGAGCTTTCATGTTTCACATATGTAATTCTTAAAACAAGACCTTTCATGGGATATCAAGAACCTTGACCCTTTGACCTTGGAGTTTGACCTACTTTTTACATACTCTAACCTCGACCATAACTTTTGAACGGTAAGGGCCAATGCTTTTATAATTCCCATACATAATCTTTGAGACAAGGCCTTTTTTTTTAGAAACCAACAACTTGACCCTTTGACCTAGACCGCGGAGTTTGTCCTACCTTTAAACATTTTAACCTTGGTCATAACCCTTGAACAGGTGGTGCTATGGTTTTTTTATTTTACATTTGTATTTCTTGTGAAAAGGCCTTACTTTAGGTTCCATCATATTTTTCATTTTCATCTTGAATTGCATGTATTACCAAAATATTTCTTTACATTTTGAGTTGGTAGCGGCATATCTATTCATGTCGGATTTTGGTACCATTTACTAAATAATTTAAAAATGATTTAAAGATAATAAAAAAAAGATCCTCAATGAAAACAAATCATTGAAGCCAAAAATATTTTAAAGCTGTGTACAAGAAGATTAGACACTAATTACTGTAATTATACACAGCAAGGCGATAACGTATGTTTTACAGATGTAGGCGACGGTACTCTAATTATCGTATGCACATTTAAGTATAAATGTCGTCGATACTCGGACGTTCGATCGAGGACCCGGTTAACCGGCACTCGTTATCCAGCAAGTTTTAAATTATGACATTAATATGGCGCATCACGACATTAATCTAGTGCATCGCAAGCCCTATCGTGAACCCAATTATAAAAAATAAAATAATGCCATGAATCCGTCAAAAATCAATGAAGCAGAACAAAATGCAAACTTGATCTATAAATAATCAAGGTAAAGTCCCATACTAAAAATAAGCTCAAAATCTGCAAGTGATTGGAAAAATAGGCGGAAACCCTGAAAAATTAAGAAGGTCATAATTCCTAACAAGCAAATTTAAAGAATTGTGTCTCTCGCTTTCGGTGTCTCGCTTTCGGTGAGATGTTATTTTTTTATGAGTATTGTGTCTAATATGAACACGATATGATATATAATTTATTTAGAAATTATCATTGAAGTTTTTTTTAAAAATAAGATCAATCGTGAAGGTCAAGGTCAAGGGGTAAGAAATCATAGCATGCTCGAAATTATCTTGTACATGTAATAGGTAATACACATGTCAAATATGAAATCTCTTTCTCTTCTCAATATAAGGAACAAGATGTGTTTGTGAAACACGGTATGGCAACATGACGAAGATTAAACTTTAAATATTAATGCAAATTAAATATAAAATATTAATGCAAATTAAATATATAATTACCCAAAGTAGGGTTTTTCTTCACAAGAAATACGATAATTGTGATATACAAAGCAACACCTGTTCATAAGTTAAAGTCGAGGAGAAATTTTTGAAAGGTAGGTCAAACTAGAAGGTGAAAGGGTCTGAGTTATTGGTTTCTCAAGAAAGGTCTTATCACCAGGATTACATATGTGAAGTACAAAAGCCCTAGCCCTCACCGTTCAAAAGTTATGGTCAAAGTTAAAGTTTTTTTTTCATAAGTACGTAAATCTCCAAGGTCAAGGCCCAAAGGCCAAAGTTATTGGTATCCAATGAAAGGTCTTGCAACAAAGAATACATATGTGAAATATGAAATTCCTAGTACCTACCGTTCAAAAGTTGTGACCAAGGTTAAAGTTTTTAAAAAGTAGTTAAAACTCCGAGGTCAAGGACAAAGTTGGTATCAAATGAAAGGTCTTGCCACGAAGAATACATATATGAAATATGAAAGTCCTGGTATCTACTGTTCAAAAGTTGTGGCCAAGGTCAAAGTTTTTGAAAAGTAGGTCAAATTCCAAGGTCAAGGTCCAAGGGGGCAAAGTTATCAGTATTCAATGAAAGGTCTTCTCACAAGAATTATATACATGAAGTACGAAAGCCCTAGCCTTTACCAATCAATAGTTATGGTCAAGGTTAAAGTTTTTTTCATAAGTATGGAAATCTCCAAGGTCAAGGTCAAAAGGTCAAAGATGTTGGTATCCAATAAAAGGTCTTGCTACAAAGAATATATATGTGAAATATGAAAGTCCTAGTACCTACCATTCAAAAGTTATGGCCAAAGTAAAAGTTTGGAATTTTTGTGTAAAAGTGGGTCAAGCTCGAAGGTCAGGGTCAAAAGTTTAAATTTGGTGGTACCCAAAGAAAGGTCTTGTCACAAGGAATACACATATGAAAGTCATAGCTCCACTGAATCAAAAGTTATGGGCAAGGTTAAAGTTTTTGTGACGGACGGACAGACGAATGAGATTTAATGTCCCCTCGCTTTCGCGAAAGCGGGGGACAAAAATGAATTGTTTGAAGTACCACATTAATTCAAATGCTTTTAATTCTAAATTGGAATTGTGTAATTGTATATAAACAAGAATTCTTACAGTTTTTGTAGTGGTGTACAATCTCTTTGCCCTGCTTGTACTATATGTAGTCCTGTGTTTTTTCAGCGCCTGAGGGCTCGTGCAGGGCTGCGGATGAGACAGCCTCTGGAATCATGGGATGGTGGAATGGCGTGAGTCCCAGCTGGACAAACATTGACCAGTGTAGTTTAGCCGACATTCCAAGTGGTATTCAAAAAGCCACCTTCTACCATCCTAAAAATGACTCACAGCCAGACGAGGTAATTTTTTTTTAACTTTCAAAATTCTAGAGATTAATGTGACATGTTTTGGTAGGTATTAAGAAATCAAATAAGCTATGTAAACATGTCCATTTGAATGACTGCAACATGCATAGGTATTTATGTTCAAAGTTTATTCTCAGCATTGCAGCCCATTCCGGTACAGATTGGGCTACCAGTTCATTCCATTAGACAGATAAGAATATCAATTATAAAAGCAAGGATTGAATCAGGCAATGGCATTGAAACCAAAAAAATTATATGATACTGTCTTTATCAAATAGACATCTGCATGCACAGTAATTTTTATGAAAGGAGTAATGAGTGGGTTGTTTGTAACAGGCCTCTTAGAAATGACCATGTATGATTCTATATAATCTCTCAGGTGGAATTTTTGGGTGAAATATCAGCGGTAATGACAACATATCCCAACAGTAATCTACTGGACTCCACTCATGAGCAAGTGTTCCTGTCTGTAAATTTCCATGGTTACATCTGGCCTTTAGAGATGACCCCTAGCTTGGAAAGTGAACTGACACTCTATATAGAATCACACAATGCAGAGGCAACTTTGTTACTTAGCAATGATAGTTCCATCCAAAATGCAGTAAGTATTGCTGTTTTTGTGTGCATACTGTATGTGTACATGAAGGTATGAAGAGGCTGGCATGGTCATATATATTTTGTAAGAAATTCTTCTGAAATTTTCAGGAAAATGTAAGAAGCCAGAAATCTTACCCTCAAATACAAATACAAGTTACGGCAAGGAAGAACAAAAAGCCAATATTTCCTAGTGTGAGCAGGGATAGCAAATATTACTTCCAGCTGGAGTCCAGAAAGTTATATCAACCACAGAAGAATGCCACTGTGGCAGTCAAGTGGAATGCTGAAACCAGGACAAAAACAGACCAAGCTCTTAGTCAGATTTCTACAGAGTTCCTAGAAATGTTTCACAGGTGGGAATTTGTTGTGACATAAGAACGATTATGCCTTTCACATAAAGGGAGGGGGAAGTGTGGATTGGAGTATCATTCAAAGGGGTTATAATTCTCACATGTAGCTTGTCATGATCTGTTTTATAATGCTTTGGAATAATAATAAAAAAATTTAGATAATTTAATTATGAGTATTATAAAATTCAATAAATGTCCTGTATGACTGATGCTATTTTTGTGTTTTCCAGTGATGTGTGTAGAAATTACACCAACTGTCTGTCCTGCATGACTGATGCCAGTTGTGGATGGTGTCCAAACACCGACCAATGTATCAGAAAGGGAGACAACTCTTCTTCAGCCTGGTGTGGCCCTGACCAAGACATGTTACTGATTACCCATCCTACTGAGTGCTCTAGATGTCCTGATTACGTGGACTGCCTCTCCTGCTCTAAGGTAAGGTGCAGTAAGTGGGCTCTGATGATGGCCTGAGGAAATAGGAAGGGGGGAACTGTATAGTCTGTACATTAAGTTACGATCTTAAATGTTGAGCAAACCCAGCTGTTATGTAGGGAGAGATAGCATAAACATTACAAGCACCTGACAAATGGATTGTGTAGCACCCATTAATTTTTTAAAATTATTTATGAGACACAATTACTTATCAAAAACAAATCAATTCCTAGCTTATCACACCTGTTTTCTTCATATTTGAGTCATTTTCCATTATTGTTAAGTCTTAGAGATTTGCCCTATATAAAAATGCTAAAGGTAAGAAACAAAACCTTATAAACAAACAGGTGTCATTACTTCAAGGTACGTGTATATATTTAACATAAATATAGCATTACAGTGTACCAATGAAATATATGCAGGAGGTATTTCAAGGAGATGATGTTTTACAAGCCCCTTCTGTCCAATTTCAATTGAAATGTTTTATTTGTCCTAAATAAGCCATTATTTACCAGATTTCTTTCCACTGGCTGCGAATCAGGAGGTCATGAAGTATGACTTTGTTTCATGCAATGAAAAATCCCGAGTTGGAGATAGCTAATCAGAACTCCTTAGATGTTTTCCACAATGAACAAGCATGACCTCCTGATTCCCTGCCAGTTTGATTTATCATTAATTTTAATGATCTAACTAAGTTTATGACCTTTTGAATAAGGATGTTAAGGATATATTTATTTTGCCAGTGATTTATTTGTAGGATGCTCTGTGTGAGTGGAAGCGTGTTAAGGAGCAGTGTCATCGCCGTGGACGATTTGAATCAGGCACAGTGACAGATCCCAGCAAATGTAGAATGCCTTGTCATCAGTAAGAAAGAGATCTTGTAAATTAATTACATACTTTTAAAGTAACAAGGAAATCAAAACACGACTTAGTATTCTGGATTGTTTTATAATATCCAGAATAGCAATATGCACCATTTGATAAAAACATTTCACTTTGATTTGTGTTTATCATATTGTTTCTATTGAAATTGTGTTTCTAAATATTAATTATTTTTTAAAGTAAAATTCTAGTAAATTTTTGAGTTACACATAGTACGATAGCAGTAGTATTCAACTGAATATAAAATATCTTTATAGAAACCTTACATTTATTGTAAATGTGTTATAAAACACTTTATGAAATAACTTCCACATGATTAACAATATTTCCTACTTACGTCCATCACAAATTATCGGGATTTCAGTGAGACTATTTAAGTAGCTAAGATACTTATTAAGTGCTAATGATGATATTATACATGTAATATAGTGCTGTGGATGTGGACTAAGTCAACTATTGTACTCACAATAAATAATACAGACTTGGAATATTTCCTTTAACTTCCTTTAACGTCATTATTGTTTAGCTTGTTCTTCCTCTGTAATAAACAATGATATTACAATGCTGTGGGTGTCCAGACTTTCTCCAGAACCAACCAGTGACCAGTCATACTTCTAGTTAAGATCTCTCTAATTAAGGGATTGTTAGTACAGAGATTGAGGTGACACATGGAAATTTCTGTTAAGCAACATATTTAAACAACAAGAACATCCCACACAAAAGAGTTGTTTATCCCTTCCCCCCCCCCTCCCCCCCCCCATACATACAAAATTTATACTTTACTCCAAGTCATAGTAAATCTTAATATGCATTAAGTCCCCAGCTTCAGTCTATAGAAGCCCATTCATCCAGAGCAGTCTTTGTTTGTTGTTTTCTGTAAGACATTTTAAGTGTAAGCAAAGGAGCTCACCTTCAACTATCCCTTGACTTCCATGGATGTTGTTGGGCCACCTTCGAAGACTTATCCACCACTGTCATCCATAGTTCTCTATTTTCCGTCGCTCTATGAATTCTGCGAGGCTCAGTCCAGTCCACTCAGGGATGTTGTCTTCCCACCTCTAAGCAAAGGAGCTAGGTTTACTTTATGCATAAAATGGCCCTGTCCTTATATCAATTAATTGACTATCACCTTCTTTGCCATTTCATATATCAAAATAAAGATGAGACTTGGTGCTTTCATTTCCTATAATAAAAATTCTTTTTGAGAATCCAGATATTTGGAAACAGGCTTCGAGAAAAAGCAGTGTTCTTGAATTTGCATAAATCATGCATATTTGACTACCTTCAGCAAAAGAAAAAAAATATGAGCACAGCCCTTGATCCAAAAAAATAAAACTATTTTTTATCTTCAGAAACGGATCTTACGTCATGAAATTGCATATTTTGGATCAGTTGTTGTATGAAATATGAAATATTGAACTCTAGGCCATTTTCAAAGGAATTTACAGGATATGATCGCAGGGGCCTGTTTTACAAAAGAACTTCATATGATTATAACATTTTGAAATTGTAATGCTGAAATGTTAGAGTAAAGTTTCCCTTTAAGTACATTCCTTATAAACGAATATAAAAATTTCATGTGAAGTGATGTAGACAAGAGACCCATGGGCCACATCGCTCACCTGTTTGACCATTCTGTTCTTTACCAGATTTTCCCCTTGTGATACATATTGTGACCCCACCCTACCCCACTGATCATAATTTGAAATCTACACTACACACCAGAATGTTCCATTCAAGTTTCAGCTTTTCTGGCCCAGTGGTTCATGATAAGAAGATTTAAAAGATTTCCACATATTTCTATGTCATACTTTGATTCCCCATTGTGGACCGGCCCTAAATAATCTGGTCATGATTTGAACAATTTAGAATCTAAACTACCCAAGGATGCTTCCACATAAGTTTCAGCTTCATTGGTTCTTGAGAAGAAGAATTTCTCTATTATTTAGCACTATATATTTCTATTTACAATTTGCTTCATGTAACCCCTTTTTATGCATTTGAACAATTTAGAATCTACACTTCCATAAAAAATGCTTCCACATACAGTTTCAGCTTTTCTGGCCCAGTGGTTCTTGAGATTAATATAGTTTTTGACCTGTCCGTCCGTCTGTCTTTTTAATTATCTCCCCTTGTGAGGAAACTTGGCCCTTCATTTTAACAATTTAAATTCCCCTTCACCCAAGAATGCTTTGAGCCGAGTTTGGTCAAAATTGGCCCAGTGGTTCTTGAGAAGAAGTCGCAAATGTGAAAAGTTTACAGACGGACGGACAGACAGACGGACGGACGGACGACTCTCGACAAAATGTGATTCAGAACTGCTCACTTGAGCCTTTACTAAGGTGAGCTAATAAAAAATTCATATGCAGATAAAAATTTGGTTTTAATTCGTTGTCAATTCCCCCAAAACCCACCTGTGAACACCGGGTTTGTAAATTTTTGAATTTTCGAAAAGTTCGATATTTGAGTTCCTAGCTTATGCTAAGAACATAAATATGAGTACATCTTTCGATCATCTTTATTAGTAAAGATTCATTCATTTGTATGTGACCAGTTTTATTGTTGGTCGCCAATCAAATCAGCGGAACATTGACAGATCCAATATATCAAGAACAACAACAAATCAATCGTCAATTAAATTCAACAATTTTAATGAAAAAGCAGCTGTCAGTGATGCGATAAAACGGGTTGGTGAATGGTTGTATAAAGTTTTGAAAAGGTGTATGCTTTGATGATATCCATTTTGATTAAAAGTTCTGTTGTTAATGCAGCTGATTATCCTGAAATGGATCCTCTCAGTTAAAGGAATATGAGCTGCAACTTTGATGCTGGAATTTTTTTGCCCCCGTAAACGAATAATGTGGGTGATAATGTGTTTTTGAACACACATGCGCTCGTGTCTAAAGTCCGTCTTTTGTCTGTCTGTCTGTTTGTCCGCAAAAACTTTAAACTTGCCCATAACTATTTAGTGGAGCTATGACTTTTATATTTCACATGTGTATTCCTTGTGACAAGACCTTTCTTTTGGTACACCAAATTTGACCTATTGACCTTGACATTGGAGTTTGACCCACTTTTACACAGAAATTTTAAACTTTTCCTGGCCATATCTTTTGATCAGTAGATACCAAGACTTTATATTTCATATATGTATTCTTTGTCGGAAAACTTTTTAATGAGTACCAACAACTTTGACCTTTAGACCTTGACCTTGGAGATTTCCGTACTCATGGAAAGACTTTAACCTTGGCCATTACTTTTGAACGATAAGGGCTAGGGCTTTTATACTTCAAATATGTTATTTTGTGAAAAGATGCTTCATTTGATACCAAGAACTTTGACCCTTTGACCTTGACGTTTGGCCTACTTTTAAAATACAACCTTGATAATAATTTTTGAAGGTTTAACTCTAGGGCTAACTTTCATACTTCACATAATCAATTCCTGTGACAAGACATTTCATTTGAAATGAAGAACCTAGACCCTTTGACTTGACCTTGGAGTTTGACCCAGTCTTACACAAAAAATCCAAACTTTTACTTTGGCCATATCTTTTAAACGGTAGATACTAGGAATTTCATATTTCAAATATCAATTCTTTGTGGCAAGACCTTTCATTTTAAATAAACACTTTTGACCTTTTAATCTTGACCTTGGAGATTTCCGTACTGACGAAAACCTGGGTCATAATTTTTTAACAGAAGGGCTAGGGCTTTCATGCTTCACATATTTTATCCTTGTGACAAGACCTTTCATTGGATATCAAAAACTTTTGACTTACTTTTTACAAACTTTAACCTTTGCCATAACTTTTGAACTGGTGTTGCTGGGGTTATATATTTCACATTTGTTTTTCTTGTGAAAAGGCCTTACTTTAGGTACCAACATATTTTATCTGCATTTGAGAAAGCTTAATCTTCTCTATGTTGTCATATGGGGGCATCTGTGTTTCACATATACATCTTGTTTTTACTCCTTTCAGTTTGAACTTGTGGTCTCAACCTCCCCTGGTGTTCCATCGCCCACAATGATGATTTGAACAGATCTAAATATACACTGCATGAGAATGCTTCCATATAAATATGACTAATCTACCTACACAGCGTTTGTAAAGAAGATTTTTAAGATTTTCCCATATATTCCTATGTTAAACTCTGCTCATCTACTGTGGACCTGTCCTATCCACGGGTGTCATTATTTGAACAAACATGAATCTACACTACCCGATGCTTCCAAAAAATTATGACCAAACACGCTGTTCTCTAGAAGATTTTTTTTTTTAGATTTTTCATACATGTTTTTATGTAAAACTTTTATCCTCCCCCGTAGCTCCGCCCTACACCTGGGGGTCATAATTCGTACAAAGTTGAACCTACACTTTCTAAGGATGCTTTCTCAAAAGTTTGATATTTTCTTCCACAATAGTTCTTGAGAAGAAGATTTTTAAAACATGCCACCAAATTATCACTGGTTCTTAATTATTTTCCCTAGAATGAGAGGAGAGTGTGGTCCATCATTTAAACAAACTTGTATAATCTCTACCAATGGATGCTTTGTGACAGGTTTGGTTAAAATAAGCCAAGTGGTTCTTGAGAAAAAGTAGAAAATTTAAAAAAGTTTACAGACAGACAGACAAATGGACGACCACCAAAATGTGATCAGAAAGGCTCACTTGATCTTTCAGCTCAGGTTAGCTTTAAAAAATTAAACGGACATTTTGAGTCCATCGAAATATATGGATGATTTGTCTATAGATGATAAAAAAAATTGAAATATTAGAAACAAAGGACCCAGGGCTGACATAGCTCACATTAGCATTGACAAGAGAAAAGGCAAAAGAAATCAGTTTAGTATTGAAAATGTTAAATAATAAGTGAACCCGACCTACCCCTAAAAGGGAGAGGGAGGGTTACGATTTGAACAAAATTGAATATACACAAGGTAATTTACATATTTTTTCACTAACTGTAAAAGTTCATATTGTGG